CCAGTCTTGAGATGTCGCACATCGGCAGGTGGGCCCTCAGTTAGCCAGGTTCTGGCATCTTTCATGATCTGTTCTTCCTCCAGCCGCTTAGCTGCCTCCAAGTCCACACCTTGCCACAAACAGAACGTGTCCAATACAAACAATCCCTTGTTGCATCTGTGCTCACAATATGAGACACACACTTAATATGCATTCCATTTTAGATAATAATGCTTCATCTTAGTTGTATCCAAGTTCAAAACCTCTCTCTTAAATTCTGTCTTTTTCATCTTTTACAACACCGACTGCAACTTTAAGCAAAAGCACTATGAATACCTTCCAGGAAAGGTTGTCCAAAAATGTGCTTTACTATATCCATGTGATACAGTTTTAAAACCTTTCCAGCATCATCAGACAACACGCTACACCAACTAGTTTGTTCCAAGCTTAAATTTGCCTTAAACGGTTGTGTCCTTTAGACATCGAAGCCCACTATAACCAAGAATGGCCCAAACACATGAAACGGTTCAAATTCTTATGAAGACGTTATTTCGAATATCTCCTGAACATCAATATAATATAAACTCTGCTTGTATGCTGAGACATAAGTGCAAAGGTGGCCACTTTTTCACACCTTATCCAGCACAGCAAATACAACTATGAACAGGCCAATCAGGGTCTCTCGATTTAGCTCAACAAACATACGCAAAAACACATTCTGTTAATGCAACAGACAATGTGCTGGAGAGAAAAACACACAAAACTAACCCCCAGATGTAACACAACCTTAAAAAAAGGTGAATGGTTGTCAAGGAACATCACTCACCTTGTCTCAGAGTGTAATCCTGAAGAAGGGACTCAGTGGTCTCATCCAAAGCAATGTCGAGAGGAACATCACCGTCACAGTTCACGGCAGAGAGAGATGCTCCTTGCTGCAAAAGGAAACTGTCAAAACAAACATGGACAGAGTGAGAATTTGTTTCAACTATAGAAGCTCTGCACAGGGACAAACAACTCTAAATAGAGAACAACTAATTCTATCACATTATATGTCTTTACAGTGCAGTTATATTACATCTTCAAAGAAAAGCCAAACTGAATTATTCACACAAGGAAAAGAGACTGTAAGAAAAGGTGAATCAATTCTTAAATCGTTCAAGCTGCACGTATTTGTGTGCCAGGCCAGCCCACTCGTGCTTTAGCTGCCAAACACCAACAATGTTAGTATTGTTGAATGCAGAAATACTCTGGCACCCACGCTGCACTCTGACCTCCCCACAGTGGCAAAGGCTATTGTAATACACATCTTAGATGACGCTATATTATACTACATACTCTGCAATATCAGAGTAGCCGCAGGAGGCGGCAACATGCAGTGGCGTCCATCCCTCACTGTCAACCTGGTTCACATTGGCACCTTGCTCCAGAAGGAAGGTCACTATCTCCATGCTGCCATCTATGCAGGCCTGTGGATAAGAGAGGAAACCAAAAGAAAGCAACTGTAAATGTTTCTTATTCATCAGCCAATGACTTCACTGAAACCCCGGGAGGAGAAGCTGCCTCACCTGGTGCAGAGCTGTGATTCCATCAGCGTTAGAACAATTGATAATTTCTACCACCTCTTCCCTGTTTGTCCCTTTGGTGTCTTTGGCGTCCTCCAGCATCACCTGAGCCTCCTCCGTGTCCCCGCTGGCGCAGGCAGCAAGGAACTCTGCAGCCCTGTCAAACCTCACGCTTTTCCTAAAGACAGGATATAAGCAACAAGATGCCGTTACTGGGTAGCTGTTGTAACAACCATACATTGTAACACAACTGAATTTCATATTGCGAATTTACAGAACATGAACACCTCACGACACAGAGCAATTGTCCTGTAGCTGACAGTGAGAAAAACATTGTATACTTTTGCCATTTGAAACATATCATGTGAAAATCAAAAAAATGTGTCTCTCGATTTTTTCTGATTTCCATCCTTGTGTGTGGCTCTCAGCCCCGTGCCCATCATCTTCCTACTGAAGAAGTCAACCCTAAATAATGGTACATGGCCTATATTTATATAGAGCGTTTCTAGTCTTGATGACCACTGAAAGCAGTTTACAATACAGTTTTGCCATTGACCCATTCACACATTCATACAGTGCATCTATGGGCAGCGCTTTTGGGGTTCTGTATCTTGCCCCAGGACACTTCGGCATGCAGATGGGGAAGACAGATGTAGAATAATGCAAGCCTTTAACTTAGTGATTGTCAAAGCCACTGTTTTTAATGGAGTTGTAACAGAAATGTATCTGTAAGTGTGTTGCATTCAGTGATGGTGAGGGTCTACTTGTGAGCTCTGTGCTAATGCAGCCAATGTCATCAGTCATCATATTGGTGCAGCCCTTGTGGCAGGTGAAGCTGCAGCTGTGACAGACACTTCCAGACAGTGATACTAACCCAAACACAGATTAGCAGAGACACACAGTTTTAAAAGCTTTAAAAGAGAGATGGTCTCTTCTCATCATATACACCATTCCGGTGGATCACGATAAGCAAAGTCAAACAGGGATACTACTAGACTCTGACAAATACCCTTTGTAGGACACTTTGCTAGCTAGCTAACAGGAGAAACACCGAAGGAGAAACGACCACTGACAACTGGACGTTTCAACAAACACTCCGAGCTTCATCAGACAGGTAACTTAGTGGTAATTCAGAAGCTGGGGGGGTGGCGTGTCTGGTATTTTGTCCACCTCTTGTCCAAGCCCACGCACAATTCCTCCTTTAGCATAACTGGAGATGTCTATGCTAAGCTAAGCTAGCTGTTATGTGGCCCTCGCTGTGGGACTGTTTGACAGGAGTCGTTTCCTCACCGTCGTTTGAGGAGGGGGCTGACTTCTTCCGAGACCACAGAATCCGGCTGCTCCCTCGGGGGGTCGCTCAGCTCGGCCTCCGGCTCCCCTGCTCCTTCCTCGGCATCGCCCCGCCACCTCCGCCGGGGCACGGCCGACGCTTTGTCCGTGCAGGAGCCGGCCCAGCGCTTCAGCTGCTCCCGCCGCTTGGTTCTCGCTGAGTCCCCCATTTATTTATCCGAGGAGGACTGTGTTTTTAAAAATAAAACATAGACTGGCAGGGGAAGACACACCCTCCATGTGTATACTTTCACTTCCTGGTTCTTGCTCTGGATGTGGAGGAAGCCTCTGCTCGCGTTCGTGGGCGTCGGGAGCGCGCAAAGTCGAGCAGGGGCAGGCCGTGTGACATCACCGCTGTTGTTGTGTAGCGGAGCCTGACAGGAAATGCTGAAAAAGTCACGGTGCACAGAGCAGGTCACTTCCTGTCTTTGTGCTCCTCACAACCATGTTGACAGAAAACCCAAGACCCTGAAGAACCCATACTTCAATCACACTCAGACACAGGAGGATAGGAGCGGTAACAGTAACAGTACCCTCTCTACAAACTGTAACCGGCCTAAATTGTAAGGATGATCTTATCAGAGACTAATTACATTGTCTGTAAGCCATTAATTAGAAGAAACTTTTGTGTCACAATGTTGGGGGGAATGGGTGGTGAGTCATTATTAGCCCTATTTATATAGGCATTCATAGTCTGCACTTATTTTAACAGGCTTTATCTTATTTGTTGAATTCCTCTTCACATCCTGATAGCCATAGATAAATAAAGTCACCTGAAAAGATAAAGAAGGAAAAAGGACCATGTCTGTGGACATCGCAGGACTGTAATACACAATGGTTTATTGCTGGTGTACCTGTCTGTCACTAACTGACCTGCCTGCGTGCGCACCCTGTCCATGGTTACTGCCAGACCAGAGAGACATGCACCAGAGTGACATGCATCAGAAGTATGCACCAGAGAGACATGCACCAGAGTGACATCCACCAGAGAGACATGCACCAGAAGCATGCACCAGAGGGACATGCACCAGAGAGACATGCACCAGAGTGACATGCACCACATACAGCAGAGACACCAGAAATGAGCGAGCCATGAGTCAGCTTCTAGCACTGTTTGCAGGGCGTAGCTTTGACGAAAAGACTGATGGGAGGTGGTGGGCTGTGTGGAATGTATATTGTTGCGTGCTCTTGCTAGCTTTTCCAGGTTTACCAAACCTTGCTTTAATAAATCATTCATTAGGGGTTGTAGGTTTATCTGCCCAATAGTGTAACTTATAACCAAATAATTCTTATAACAATGCAATAAACCTGCAATGTAAACCATAATAAGTTGTTACAGTTTAGATTCTCTAGCTTTTTTTTCAAAAAAGTTGCAGGTCAAATGGTCAGTTGGAAACCTTTCCTAATTGATTATAGAGCTTAAAAGCCAACAAAGCTGTCCTACTGTCAACCCAAAAAGGTATTATTATATTGTTGTTGTTGTTAATGAATAGAGGTGATTTGCAAAGTATTTAACAATTTATTTATCTTTAATAAAGTCACAAGTTACACATTAAAAACCATTTATAAATGGTGCCTGATTCCTCCTGGAATATTAAAGGATCTGACAATCTGATGTAAAATTTTAACCTTCAATATAAAGGATGTGTATATACAAGTTTCTCCACAGACCACAGTTAGCCACACCATTTTCTATAAAGGGGCCATTTTTGATTTTTTTCACCCAAAGGTAAATACTTGCAATGTGAGTTCTACCAGTTCGTCTCCCCCTGACTGTCTACAGTCTATAAAGTTACCACCGGTGCTTAAAAGCCTGAAGTCTGTGGGGATAAAATCGATGACAGCCACCATTACTTTAGGGCATACAATGAAAACTCACTGGTGTGAAGCAAATAAAAAAAAGGAAAAGAAAAAGGGAAGAGTATAGTTTTGTATGCACAATGCCACGAATAAAAAACTATATACAGTATTTACTTCACCAAATCACAAGTTTGTGAGACAAGCGAGTTTCATATCATGATTTTTCATGCAGTCTGTGAGTTAATGTCAATCAGCCTCGGTCACAACAATCAATCTTAAGCCTTGTGTTAGCTCTCAGCTTGTAAACATTCCAACATGGACATGGGGGCAAATTCCACATCACATTTTTGCTGTGGCTCCGTGTGCACAGTGCTACAACTCCACTGTTACCAACAGAAAGAGGAAGGCCCCTGATGGAAGTAAGTAACTCTAATCATTTGTATTTATTAGTGCTGGCCCAATCTTGGACCAGTTGTCCAACCATGGCAGAATATGCAGTTGTGATAATGTCTATTTGAGAGCATTGTTGTAGAAGCAGTGGATTCTTCAGCATATGTAGAACAACATGACAAACAAGGGGACAAACTAACATTAGGTTTCTTAGTAAAGTGCTGGTCCACCATGAATCATATAGAACAGCTTCAGTGGCGGGATTAACAGCTTTTCTCCAGAGGTTATTCCCTCAGTTGTAAATGTGATTAGTTGGACAATGCTGTCAAACACATCACTCCAATATCTCCCACAGTTGTTAAATTGGGTTGTAATCTCAGAGTCCTAATCGTCTGTTAAAAAAAAAATTTTATATTCACTCACTTCACTCAAGGTTTTCTTTATCGACTTTGGAGGACTGTAAAAAAAAACATGGTGGCCCCCGTAGAGAAGACCCGCTCCCAAAGTAAATGTAAAGTTTTTAAATATAATGGGTCCATTATCAGGTAAAGCAAACAACAATTGGGACAATTTAGATAAAACACATGAAAACAACACTAGGATTATTTTATATTCAATTTATTCCAATAGATCCTTTCACCTAAATCATACACCCCGAACCTCTATTTTGTCACTTAATGAATAAGTATAATTAAAGTGATTAACTGAAAGTACTCTACAGTATGAAAATCATATCATCATACTAATGAAGCTGCCTCTCAAGTGTGCAGTCTGTTACAGTGTATTATTTGCCCTTGTGATCATTCTCTTCTGGATTTGAATAATTCAAATCTATCATGAAACATCTACACACTCGTGGCCTGGCATTCTCAGTGACAGTGACAAGAAGGCCCTCTGAAGGTTATGAGGTGTCGTTATCTGTTTATATGTTTGAACTTTCATGTCAACCGGAAACAAATTTGTCTCCACAAACTCCTGTTTCAGAATGTCTCTCCCCAAACACATGGCAGCTCACTCGATCCCACCTCACACTCTGGCCCAGCTGGCACGAGAGTGGCTGGCAGAGGATACACCCAACTTTGACCCTGCAGGGGTGTGTGTGGGGTCACAGGAGGTGGAGGCCAGGCTGCTGTGTAAGATGCCACACAGCATTCTGGCGGGGAGTCCCTTCTTCACAGCCGTGTTCACTGAGGTTGGCTGCACTGTGGACTGGATTTATCGGGAAGGGGCCAAGATTGGTAGGAACAGTACACTTTCTTCAATATGTGACCAGTTTATCAGGGATTTAAACTGCTCTGACAGTGTTTCTACTCATTATACACAAAGGGAAGCAGAGACCAGGTGTCACAGGTTAAAGAAAATTAGTTTTAAAGTAATATTGATCGATCCTTTACTTGTCCATCAAGGGTCACAGGGATGCTGGAGCCAATCCCCAGAGAAACTGGGCGAGAGGCAGTGTGCACCCTGGATGAGGTGTCAGGGTGTTGCTAGTCGATCACAGGGCCAACATGTAGAAGGCTGTATCCTGTCAAAAGCTGTTTTTGAATAAAGTATTTTTCTACAGATATATTAGAATACAAACAATAAATATGATATGTGTTAAGAAATTATTTTCCAAGCTTTTCCAAGCAATGTGCTTGAACAAGGAAAATATTTCAAGGTAAATAAAATGATGTGTGTCTTTGCTCAAAGCTATAGAGCTTAAAGTAAACAAGGAATTGATTAAATGTGAATCCTGAGGCTACACACCTGCAGGGGCCGGGGTTCGATTCCAGCCTGTGTCAGTCATCCCCTGCTCTCTCTGCCCCCTTTCACCACAGGTCTGTCCTGTCATAATAAAAGCCAAAAAAGAATATGCTTTAAAAGGTGCACCTTACTGAATCAGAAATTAAATTGGCCCCTCTGTGTAAATGTTTCCCCTTTACGGCCCCTGCTTTGAAAAATCCTAGATCCACCATTGTGTTGTGATATCAAAATTCAGTATGTCTCACATACCTGGTCAATCAGGGAGTGTGCTGGCATTCAAGGGAAGACGTGGCTTACAACACTAAAACTCAATCATCCAAACCAAATAGCTGATCCCAGTACATTACAAGAAATAAGTAGCTCAAATAAACACCTGAAAATAACTCCTGCCACAGCCTGAGGGATGAAGAGCAGAGTCTCTTGCAGGCGGAGGGTTTGTCTGCTTCATTTCAGAGGAGTGTGAAGGAGCTGCACACTGTTTGGTCTGATCAGGCTTCAGGTACACTGATCTTTGAAGGTGGCCCAGCTAACCCAGCTAGATAGATCTCTAGAGGGGAAACTTCTTTGTTGTTGTTGACCTGTCCATGCACAATAAGAAAAAAAGAGCTTTGGTATTACTTCCACTTGTTGTCTGCACTGAGCTAACACTAGAATAATTAACACATATGTGCATCACAAGGATATCATTGGAGCCCAGGAGCCTGTCCAGCCAATAAATTGAAAAGACAATTGAGATTTGATGCCCCTAAAAATGAGACTGATAAAATAGGTAATGCATCAAATAAATAATGTTAAAATGACAGACCAATATCTCAACTGAAAAATGGTCTGAATGCTTGTCTGTTCTCCCTCTGAATTCTTTTTTATTATAAACTGGTCAGAAAAGTAATTATGAAGCCAGCCCTTTCAATGAAAGGTATTTACACAAGTAGATCAGTTAATTAGGTCAGCTTATTGAGAAAACGTGTGGTTTTGAGCAGAGCTTTTCACAGTCACAGACATTGTTTTCCTCTCTCTCAGATCAAAGATGAATATTTTACTCCTGAACACAGATATGTGGACAACGCTGTATTTTTAACAAATCATTTTACAGGATTGTTTCATATTGGTTGCTATGCCACAGTCTATCTCTGCACCCCCCCCTTATGGTTACATGTATGCTTAGTTAAGAAATACTGATTTAGAGAACCCACGTCCTGCTTGCTCATTGTAACGTGACAGATTTCATTAAAAAAGAAGGTTTATGTCAGTCTGTCAGTATGTTCACTTGATATCTTGCTTTCCGCCATTAGATCTCAGTCCTCCTGTGTCCTCTGTTTAACCACAGGCCCAGATGCTGTCACATTGACTGCTGTGGTGAGAGGGCCGGCAAGGTGCCTCCTACTTGGGGAAAGGCCAGCTCTCAACTGCCTGGCCCGGGCCTCGGGGATCGCCACTCGCTGTTCTCAGCTCCAGGCTATGGCAACGGCAGGAGGATGGCATGGAGAGGTCGCTGGCACACGCAAGACCACCCCGGGCTTCCGTCTGGTGGAGAAGTACGCCATGCTGGTTGGCGGCGTGTCCATGCACCGACAGGACCTGAGTGGAATGGTGATGCTGAAGGACAACCATGTCTGGGCGTCAGGAAGTATCACAGAGGTGCACAGCAGAAGCAAAGATCCAGTTAATATGAAAATGTGTCTTCCTATAGTTTCAAAGCAAATATGTTTTGCTTCATAGCCCCACTTTTAAAAAATACCAAAACCAAAAATTTGGAGTGGTGTTTCAGGATCCATATATTCTGATGAAAGTATTGCTTCTACATATCTTAAGCCATTGTTTGTTCACACTGATTCACAAGCAATTTTAAAACCTCAAATACTTCAGATGTAAGTTAAATTCAAATAATCAATATTTAAAAACAAGCAATTCATGTTTTGTGGTCAGAAGTGGATCAAAAATCGAACAAAATGATTCATTAGTGGTTAAAGTTAGCAATGGAGATGAAAAACATATCACAAGAAGACAACACCCTGTTTGTTGTGCAGGCGGTGAGAGCTGCCCGCTCAGTGTGTGGCTTCAGCAGTAAGATCGAGGTGGAGTGTCGCTCTGCAGACGAGGGCAGGGAGGCAGCTGCAGCAGGAGCAGACATTGTTATGCTGGACAACTTTCAAGCTCAGGTAGAGAACGTAAAAACAACACAATCTAAAGTCAGTCTTCATTGTCGTTGCTCGGTCTCCACTCACTCTGTCACTTTGCTCCACATGAAACAACACTACCCTGCCCCACCCTGTATCTCACCGACAGGAGCTCCATGTTGCAGCTCGAGCCCTGAAGATGGAGTTCCCAGCTCTACTGACAGAAGCCAGTGGAGGAATTACTCCAGAAAACTTAGCTTTGTATTTCTCTTCACACGTGGACATCATTTCCCTGGGCTGTATAACACAGGGCTGTCCTGTTGTGGACTTCTCTCTGAAGGTTCAAAATCCTGGTGCTCACTCAAGGACATTGTAAGATTTTGTTCTGATAAATAAAGAGGATCATTTTTAATGTGTTCATATATTTTTCCAGCTGCACAGTGGTTTAAAGTTGCCAAAGATTAAGAAGAATGTGCATTCTGTTTCCTGATTTGTCAAGCCATGCAGACAGTTTCGTAATTTTTACTCATTTTTGGGTAATCCAAAAAACGTTTTCATACTGTGGTATTGCTAATTCACTTTCTTTACTCAGGGAAAAATACAACATGGTATTAGTATTTTGCAGGGGCAGATCCAGAGATGGCACCAGGGGGCACTGGCCCCAGGCAAAATCTAACTGGAACAGTCCTGACAGAAGTCTTTTTTTAAAAAGAGCTTTTATTTTCCAAGCTTTTTTGAAGAACACAATTTGCTTGAACAATGAATAATTATCAAAATATATTGAATGATGTGTGACAAAAACCAAAAATGGTGGCCCCTTTATGAACCCTGATCTAGAAAAAATAATCAATGGTATTGTTATCTTGTGGCAACCACATTAAACTATACAGTAACTGTCACTAAACAACATTTCCCTCTTAACTTTATTAGATGAAAATGTGGTATGCAAAGAAAATATTCAAATTCAATGGTTCTCAAATTTCTACTAAGTATAGAGCTTGTCTTACAGTAATACATTTTGTCACATTCCACCAAAGCATTTATTTAATACTTCTTCCACCACTGGAAGTTAACCAGTACAACTTCTCTGCATTCATGTGGTGATTTACTTATCACAGCAAGATTCTCACAAGTTCTAATTGTAACATCATCATCTTTCCTGTTTTTTGGACCTGTTTATAGATGTAAGATGTAAATCCCTCCTGTTATGAGGCTCTATGAATAACCACCAGTTTCCTTTATCTTTTTCCTGTAACAATGAGTGAGAAATAAAGGATTTCAGAGTCACAAGTGTAAAGGGGAAGTGTGAGGGAAGAGATACATTTTGCTGAGAGCATTGCTGTGAGACAAGTTTCACAACCACCTGGTACTGAAACGCCCTTATTTGAAAAGCACACAGGAAGTGTTGCACACATAAATGTCAAGAAGCTTGAGAAGAGTGAGGTGAAAGATGCAAGACCAGCGTCATATTGTCTTGCTCACCTACATGGTGGTGCTAGGTAAGAAAATAATATTTCCTACATTTATCAGACAGAATTTCTCCTCGAGATAGAGGTGGTTTATGTTCTATGTGAGTTTGGGAGAAAATATATGTGTATTTGAGGTGTTGAGGATTAGAACAAAAATGACCAAAAATGCTTATAAATTGCAAAACCTAATAAATTGACTCTTTCAACTTGAATATTTGTTGCTGAGCAGATATATTTGCGTGCAATTGCTTTTCAGAGCTTTTACAAAATAGCTGCCTGCTGCTGTTTTTGGAATTGACATTGATGAGAACTGTGAGAGAGAACACAACAGTAGAGCAGCAGGGTGTGAATTCTCTGTGAGTTTGTTTATGACACCTCTCAATTTCTACATAGTCATTTGATCTAAAAAATATAAAGATGATTAGTACAGCTTCAAGCAAACATAAATAGACAAGCAAAACATTTTTTTATTTATTTTCAATTTGTTGTCCCCTTGCATTTTATATACTTTTAACATTTGCAATATTCATATCCTTTCAAATCAGTGCTGCTTGTGAACAGTGCAATCAAGGTGTAATATCACATCAAGGTCAACAACTGGAAGCCTTGAGGAGAAGAAAGTTGTTTTTTTTTGCTTTTCATGCTGTGAACGTAATTTTTCAAATCAGTGAATCTACAGGAGGTGCATGTGTGAAAAATGATCAAAAAGATAAAATGATGCCAGTGTCAATTTGGCTGAAGATCAGTTTGAAAGTGAAAATGAACAGTCAATTTTTAAGTTGCGTAGAGGGTCATTTTAGGCAACGAGTTTGGACAAGAAAGAAGAAGTAGAAGATAAAAAAGTCTTTTTCTGCCACATCACTATGATATTCTTAATACTGAAACTGTAATATTAGAGAGCATCACTATGTTATATACATACAATATATAAACTATATCAATCATGAATATGCGTAAGAGCATTAAGTTGGACAAAAACCATTTGCCTCATATGCACTTTAGCATCATTTGACTTTCTAACTACTTTTTTTTTTAATTATCTGAAAAATTAATTGTGTAGAAACACTGTTGACCCATAGTAGATCAATGTATTCTTAACAAGTGTAGTGTTGATGCGTGACAAAGTTCAAATATAACATTTTTAAACCTTCATATTGTCTCTGAAACAGTAATTATAGTCTCTTCTGAAATTCTCATGATCCCTTTTCATTTCAAATTAATTTAGCCACCGTTCTGATTAAAACTTGTGAGAAAATAAACAAGTTTTTTTTTTTTATTGCAGCCACCCCTCTTTCTTTGGCTTTCAACATTGATACAACAAATCCAGATGTCTATGCTGGTGAACAGAAAGATTTCTTTGGCTACAAAGTGCTTCAGTTCATGTCTGGCACAGACAAAGGGTACGTGTGCATTTTTAACTTTGAGTTTCAGTTGATTATAACTGTTGCTAAAAATGTCATAATCAGTACTCATGAAGTAGATGTGGAAAATAAATGAGGTTTACATCTTCTGCAGAGGTGTGAAAAAATGTAACTGATTGAATGATGCATCCTGATCTTGCTCTTCATCACAAAAGCATGACCTCACATCCTGCTTCACATATAGAGCATTTCCTTTGAGCTGAAATGTTGTTGCTTGTGCCATTTTGACTACTTCAATGGTTGCTCACCTCATTCTCAGGGTAATTGTCACGGCGCCGCTGAAGCTCAATGGATCTGGAGGAGTATGCAGACAGGTCAAAAACCAAAACACCCAGTGTTTCAATGCTGAAGGTATATAAATACCTATGTTGAATACAGTCAATGTTACACAATTAACCACACACAGATAAAGTTTCCTTCTCAACAATACATAAAGCATAAAATAGAGACTTGATGGTGTAGCTGAAATGCTTTGCATTATTCTTGTACTAATTAAATGCTACTGTTTCAGACATTACTGTGAAAAATAGAACTTTACCAGTGAAGCTCCTCGGCCTGTCAATCGCTGCAGACTCCACAAGCTCCCAGTTCTTTGTAAGCAAATCACAAAGGCCAATACTTTGAGAAAACCAAAACAAATCAATGTGATGAATCTGAATTCCTTTACCTCTCATGTTTGGACTTAGGTTTGCAGCCCAAGTGTAGCCCATGAATGCAATGAGAACTCCTATCTAAACAGTGTGTGTTACAAGATGACTGATCGTCTTCACAAAATCTCCTCTTTCACTCCTGCTTTCGAAGGTGAGAGATGATAAAAGACTGGAAAAGTCTCACATCTTGTTCTTCTTGCATGTTTTTGTCCAAACAAACTTTTGTTATTCTGTATATTTCTTTTCAGAATGCACCAAAAAGACAGTGGACCTTGTCTTTCTTTTTGATGGATCAGGCAGTATGACCACAGCTGAGTTCAGCAAAAATAAAGATTTCATAGTGGATATAATGAAGAGCCTTAAGAACACATCAATCAAGGTCACTGCTCCACTGCAACATGAAAGAGTTCATGACTTTTATTTGTTGAATTATATAGAAATAGCAGTATGTTAAATTGTTGTATTGTGTTGTCTGTTTTATGTATTTTTCCAGTTCTCAGCAGTTCAGTTCTCCTCAACATTCAGGACGGTATTTACCTTCAACGACTATCAAGACGGAAGAGCTCTTGGTAAACTTCGGAAAGAAGCCCACATGAGGCAGCTCACCAACACACATGGAGCCCTCGCATTTGTGTTGTGAGTTCAGTGACATTAAACTTATAGGTTTCAAAATGACTCTTAGTGGGGATGTACAAGAAATGTTATTGACATTACTGTTGAGGGATATCAACGCTCGATAAAGAGCTGGTCCAATGATACATTAACATCATGAGCATGTTATTAAAGTTAGAATCGTTGATTTATTCATACTTATAGATTGGAGTTTTGTTTATTCTGAGCATTTGAAAAACTACATTGGTATTTGTTTGTTTCAGGAAAAATGTCTTCGAAGACCCAGATGTAGGTGCCTCTCCTGATGCAATTAAAGTTTTGGTGATAATCACAGATGGCGATCCCAGTGATACAAACGCAGATCTTATTATTGAAGAATATCAGAAGAAACAGATCATTCGCTTTGTCATTGGGGTAAGTTGTGATCTTATATGTTTTATTACTCGGTTCTATTTGTATTACTAGTTCAGAGCCTGTATAGAATGTTCTGTTCTCTTGTCCTGTGTTAATGCTGCTGAGCTACTTCAGAATTCCTTGTCATTAGTGAGTCCTCCTCAAATAGTTCTACAATATACTGTCGATTTTAAATCAGTGCAGGGTGAAGATACATTTGTATTTATCCTGCCTGGTTTATGTGGAATGAACATTTTATAGTCAATGTTTTTCATAAAATGAAACAGAATTTAGATTTGCTACTGTTCATGTGTGTGGTTTGTATATAGGGTCAATTCGAGTAATATTTTTTATTCATTTT